CCTTGGGTAGGACTCCCCTCACTTCCCCCAGGTGCAGGCCTCCGGGCCTCATGGAATGCCTGCCACGGGTTTCCCTGGGCCTCAGCTCACAGGCACAGACTCTCGGCCAATTTTTCGTAGTAAATCTGCACCTGCCTCTGCTGTTCATCGTCTCTCTGGGGGACGCTCAGGACCCTCACATGCCCCAGGAGGTCAAGAAGCCCTAGTCTCCAAGTGATGAAGCCAAATGCTGAAGTCAGTGCCCATCACTGTGGCCTGAAGACCATTCTGGAATCCCAAGCTCAGGGGTGGAGGTGGCCTGGGGGCTGTGGCCTGGACTCCAGTGTCCCAATGGTCCCCATGCCCAAAACCACTGCTGGCAGATGAGGCTGAATGGTATAAGGGCCCCGACGGGATCCGAGATTCTGTGTCTCTCACTCACTCTGAGCCAGGCTCTCCGTTATGCTCTTAAACACAACAGGCTGCCTCGGTTCACAGCAGCCTCAGGGTGGAGAAACACGTACAGCAAACCCCAGAGAAGCCTCAGCCTGCTGTGGGCTCATCCCTGGTCAGCTCACGGAGCTGGCCCCTGAAAACACCTGAGTCTCTGCTGAGTTGAGCAGCATTTTGACTAAGAGTCTCAAACTGGGTCCTCCACCACTTCTTCTGAAAAGTAGCCCTGAAGTAAAGACTGGTGGAGACACCACAGAGACCAGAACGGTGGGCAGGAGGGGCAGCAGCCACCTGTCACCTGATGCTGGGTGGAGGAGACATCAGCACGACCATCCACAGCTAGGTGAGGTCACACTGCTCATGAAACCACCACCCTGGGGACCACACCCCTCACGCCCATCACCAGCCCATTGCACAAGGTCACACCAAGCAGCTGGCTCCTCCGGGCCCATTTTTCAACCCTTTTGAAGATCGTGGACCCAGCTGCCACCCCAGACCTTGTGTCCTTGTGTCACCTCTGTCTTCAGAGGAGCACCAGCCCCAGGGAGGACAAGCCCATCTGCAAAGGGCTTGAGAGCCAGGGCCACACGCTCTGGTGCAGGAATCACCACAAATCAGAGACCCATTTTCAACCTCTGCCCTCTCCACTGAGGTAAGCTCAAGTCAGGTGCTCTTTTTGTTTATTCATTTATTTTTTTTTTTCTTTCCTGGCACTAAGGATTGAACTCAGGGCCTTTGCACTGAGCTATAGCCCTCACCCTTTTGTATTTTTTATTCTTTGAGACAGGGTCTCACTAAGTTGCTAAATTATACAGGTTTTGCCTGAACTTGCAATTCTCCTGCCTCAGCCTTCCAGAGTGCTGGGATTACAGGTATACTCCATCACGCCCAGCTGAGTCAGTCTTTCTAGTTCCCTCCTGTCCTCACTGGTGGGCCCCAGGGCTCTGCATGCCACAGGCCCCAGGAGCCTCGGGAGAGGGGAGGCACACCCCTCACACCATGCCTACAGCTGGGGCTTGGTGTCCACGCCACCTCCTGCACCTTCTAGCTGCCTACACAGCAATCCTACTAGACAGAGTAGGGCCTCTCCCTCCACAGAGACTCCACAAAGCCCCTGAAAAGACCCCACAGCAGCCACTTCTGCCCTGTGAGGAAAAGAACACTTTACCCCTCGGGCTGTTCATCTTCTTGGAGTGGATGTGGCCCTGAGACCCAGGCCTCCCTGTCCCTTTTGGAGTTGGAATTCGCACTGTGGAAGTTTTCTGGGCTCAGTGTGGTACAGCACAAGGTCTCAAGGGCTGAGTAAGAGAAGAGGAACTCTTGCTTTGTGCCCTGCTGAGGAGCCCCCAAGCTGTTCCTGGCGACTGGTCAGGTCCCCATGAAGACCCCAGTCCCAGTCCTTGAAGGGCCTTCTGTGGGTATCCTTGATTACACCCAAAGGTCTAGACAAGTCTTTGGAGGGGAAGGAGCCTGGGTCCATACTCTGTTAGGAAGTTGGCTCCTGGGTCACAGCTGCCTGGAGAAGGAAGGGTGCATCTTGCTGCTATGGGGTGCAGACACTGGCCTCAGAGGCTGCCAGCCCCAGGGAGTCTGAGGGAGGGAGGGAGCTCCACTCTCTCCCCATACAGGTGGAGACACAGAGGCCCAGAGAGGCCGTGGAACCTGCCCATGGGCACCCAGCAGCAGCGGGAACCAAGCCTCCCCCTGGTCCTACTGCCACAGCCCAGCGTTCAGTCTGATCTGGTTTCTCCCACAGGCTGTTTCTGCAGACCTCAGAGGTGTTTTTCCTCTGAGAGTGAAACAAATGTTTCTCTCTCAGGATAAAATGCCACATAGCTGTTTGCCATGGTCCAGCCCCCGACCAAAGGTGCCCACAGGTTGTGGAAGTGAGTGGAGACCAGGGCAGCCAGTACACCCAGCTCATTCAGAAACCCAGGCTGGTTCCATGTGTCCCCTGGTACCTGGACCAGGGTGCCCTGCAGGGCGCTGTCCCCTGGGGGATCTAGGAAAGGTGTCCACCCATTGCTCTGGCTGCCCGTATACCCAGACCTGGCCACTAGCAAAGGGAAGTGAGGTGACCAGCAGCCTGGGTAGCAGCCAAAGTCAATAAAAGCCACACGGGAGGAAGGGAGGGATACAGGACGTGTGACCCGTAGGAGAGAGGGCTCCGGGGAGGGGACTCAGCTGGCCCGCAGTGGGGCGGGCGCAGGTGTGCCTCAGGGCCAGTGAAGGGGAGCAGGAAAGCCAGTCCCAGCTCCAAGCAGGGCCAGTTCCTTTCTGTTCAAAGCTAGGTTTCTGAAAGTTCACGAGAAGCTTCACACTCACACAGACAGCACAGACCACACACGCTGCACCCCCTGCTTCAGAGGCACAGCCACACTGGCAGCCCACTGGGGATGCACATGGAGCCGCCCGTGAAGGATACACTGCAATTTGTGGCATCACGGCCTTGCTTTTGCCGTGTGGCTCTACCTCACATTGTCTAGCTTTCCTGCTGCTTTTTGGTTATTTGTTTTGTTTTGTTTTTACATTCTTTTAAAGACAGGGTCTCATTTTGGAGCCCAAGCTGGCCTTGTTTTACAGCCCAGGCAATATTCCCACCTCAGCTTCCCAAGTGCTGGGATCACAGGCCTGTACCACGTTTTCTTCCTTCTTATTTTTGGCAGTATTCGGACCTTTGCACTGAGCTACGTCCTCAGCCCTTTTTCATTTTTTAGGTGAGACAGGGTCTTGCTGGATTGTGCAGTCTATGTTCGAACTTGCAATCCTTTGCCTCAACCTGGCAGAGAGCTGGGATCATAGTTGTGTGCCACCATTTCCAGCTTCCTATTTCTTCACTTCTGACACACAGAATCACACCTCCGCCTTCTGCATCTGGACCCCAGCTTCTTGGGCCCTTTAGCTGGTGGTCAGCGCTCTGTCCTTCAGCACATTCTGAGGGGTGAACACCCACGGGCAGTTCGTGCTGCTGTGGGGTGCTTTGGGGCTGTGTCCCCCCTTCCAGCTTCATGAATAACAACGCCATAAACTTCTCACCAAGTCCCTGTGTCCGCCATGAACAGATTTCTCCAGGGCAGATGAGGGTGTAGCTGGCAATCCAGGGCCCTGTGCCAACAGCACCAGAGACCGATCCCTCTTGCCCCTTCTCCAGCCCTGTGGGTGGACAGAGAGTGACCTTCTGCTAAAATGCAGTGACAGTGGTCTTAGCCGGCCCCTGCCTGACTAGGATGAGGCCAGTGATGGCTCACACCGGGCTTCTCCCAGGCCAAGTCACACGTTTGTCTTGGACAAGGCAAGGGCTTTGCCGTGTGGATTCCTGCAAGCGGCCCCATGACGTTTGGAGACTTCCTTCTGGTTAGATGCATGGCGCAGCTCTTCCTACGCTGTAGTTTGTCTTCTCATTCCTTTTATGGTGGCTTTTCCTGTAACAGAACTTGTGAATGTATTAAGATTTGTCTACTATACCTTTATGACTCTTACTTTTATACATTGTTTAAGAAATCCATCCGTAACTCAGAGTCATGAAGCTATTCCTCTAAATTCTCTTCTAGGTGAAGTTTTGCTTTCAGACCTGTCCAACCTTGCTTGCCTGGGCCACCTGTGTGAAGAGGGATTGTCTTGGTCTGCATATAAAATGCACAATATAGTTAATATATGTAACAAAATTTCCTTTCTTTTAAAATATTTTATTATAACTTTTTTTAAAAAAAGTGCAAGTGTCCTGGGGTCGCAAGTTAGAGCACATGCTTGAGATTTGCACAAGATGAAGCAGCCACATTTTTCTCTGGGTATGTAGAGACCTAGAGTCCAAAGCCACTGATTCAAACTCCTCCATGTCCCCTCCCTGTCCATATGGGAACCTGCAGTGTCACCAGACTTGAGCCTTTAGATCTCAAAGCCAGCAATTCCTCTGCCCATGTCTGTGTTCTTTGCCTTTCAACACAGATTTCAGAATCAGTCTGTCAGAATCCGCCCCAAAGAAGGAAGGACAGACTAGAAATTTGGGTGGGGATGTGTGAAACCCAATTACGTGATGGAGAGCCATTGTTTTGGCCACGGGAACCTAGAAGGACAGAAATAATCATTGCTCTGTTTATCTGGATCTTGTTGAGAGCCACTTGAGGATGTTTTAGATTCAATTTCCTCTCTAAAAACCTTATATAGGTTTTGTTTGTCCTATGTACATCATATTTTCAAGGCTTCATGAATGATATCTTTTCCAAGTTTCAGTTTATCACTGGCACATAGAAAAATAACTGATTTTGTGTATGCATTTTTTTGTATCCAGTTAGGTTCCTGGCTCCCCTATTAATTTGAATTATTTATCCTGGTATTTTCCTGCCTTCACACACAGAATAATAGCCTCTGTGACGCTCAGTGTTACTTCTCCCCTCCAGCCCTGGTACCTCTCTCTCTCGTTTCTGGCCTGCACCTGGGACTCGGCCCCCCAGAGGCGGCGGGGCAGATGGCACAGGCTCCAATCTCGGGGTGGATCTTCGGTGGGCTGTAGGGTTTGTCCAACCTTTTGTCAAGTTAGGGAGGCTCCTCTCCTCCTAGTGGAACTATCTTTCTTGAATGGACATTGCATTTTATACTTTTTCTCTTCTATTGAAATGACCCTAAGATATTGCTGTGGAGGATTATATTCATTTATTTGGTGACATTCAACCACTTTCCATTCTGGGATAAACCCAACTCGGTTACAATAAATTATCCCTCGTTGGTATCTTTGGAGACTTGTCATCTTCCTTCCGGGTCCTGTTGGTGACGGGTTCTGTCATCGAGGGCCGATTAGCTTCTTACAATGCTTTGGGAAGTATTTCCTGCTTGGCTGTTTGCTGTAAGAATTAAGGGTAGAATTAGGTTTCTTGAGTCTATTGATAAAAATTACCAGTGAAAGCATGTGGACCTGGGATTTTCTTCATAGGAAGACTTTTAATTTTAAATACAGAAGCAGTCGATGGTGACTGGCCTGAGTTGCTGCTGAGTCTCCAAGCCAGTGTGCTCACTGCGATGACCTGGATGGCTGGGCAGCTCCACTGCAGAGAAGAAGCGCAGGTAGCTGGGTTCAAGGGTCAACTCGCGGCATATCTGCATTACCCTGACAGCTGAAAGCTGGACGCTACCAGTGCCACCTCCAGCACCAGTGAACTGCAGGAATTCATCCACCCCTGAAGCAGGACAGACTGCAGATTCGAGCCTCGCAGTGAGTGACAGGGGCAGGTGGGGCGGAGCCCACACCAGGCTGCATCTGGAAACAGGCAGCTCCAACTGGCACAGCAGGTGTGGAACTGAGGGGCCCACGCAAACCTCCTGTGTCCTAGGCATGGCTGTGCCTCACATCCTGTGCACTTTCACTTGGGGAGTTCACACCATCCACTGTGTCAGCCCCAGTGAAAAGTGACCTGCACACATGCCAGAAATGAGGGCAGGGCAACCTGTGCTGCCCGGTTCCCGCCCATGCTGGCAGTGACTCCTTAGACACTTCTCTGGGGCCCACAGCAGTTGCAATCTTCGTAAACACGGTGAATCACTGCATTCTTGGTTCACGTGGGGTTGCGGCAATATCAAGGTCAGCCAGCTGTCTGGGGGACCTGTGACAAGCTCTGCCTGCGGTGCCCCAAGTATGCTGAGCTGGGATCGCTCTGCCTCCCCGGTGATTCTCAGATTTTGTAGGCCCATTATGCAGATGGGGTGACGAGGCCTCAAGGTTAGCAGCTGGCTGGCACAGGGACAGCAGTGCATCCTGCCTAAGGGACACCTCATGAGGACCCCACCCGTCCCTTGGAACACCTCATTTTCTTTGTGGCTGTGAGTGAAGGCTGCTGCCTCTGCTATTATCTTCTCCCTGAATTTTTTGCCTCTGAAAGTGTCCTGGGTTAGGAGTACAGGTCAGTGGTGAGAATTTGCCAATCATGTATGAGGTCCTGGATTCCAACACAGCACCGTTAAAAAAAAAAAAAAGGAGAGAGAATTTGCTGGAGTGTCTCTCTCTGTCCTCTTCTTGATTTACTGTGGTTGCTCAGCACTGCTTTTTAATCATCAGTTTGCATATTTTCCGTGTAACTTCAGCATCGTTTCCTTGTCTAGCTGTTGCAGATCTTGTGCCTGTTTGATTTGCCTTTTTGCCTTGGCTATAGGTTCCCAGACCACAAAAGCTTTGCATTTCCATTTAGATAAATGTTTATCTTGATCTGCTAAACTTAGAAAAACACAGAAGCAAGACTCATTCATTTCCGTCAAGTGTTAACTTCCCCGGCAGCCTCGGCTCAGCCCTTGTCCAGGCTGGAACTCATGTGGGTCCTTGATCTCTGGAGGCCTCAGTTTCCCCATCTGTAAAATGGGAGTCATCCCCCCTCAGCTTACAGGGCTGGGCTCAGAGTAAGCAAACTTCCCCTTTCCGATGTGGCCCAACGTGGCTGGGCTGCCTCAGTGCCAGCCTGGCCCTTCAGCCTTCCTGGGCCTCATCTTCCCTCTGTGGAGTCACCAAGGGATTCTGGTTCTTACCCAGGCACATCAGGATCCCCTAGAGGTATGGATACCCCAGAATCTGTATTCCTAATGGTTCCTGGTGATGCAGGCTGCAGTCTGACACCTGCAGATGTGAAGGGGCCTCGGGCAGGGGGAGGGCAGGGCAGGGATGGCTCCCACGCGGGTGGGTTGTGCCACAGACCAACACGGTCAGCTGGGCAGACCAGCGCAGCCTCAAGGGCAGCTGTGCCCAGGTAGGCAACAGCAAAAGATGGAGCACTGGTTCCGAGAAGAAGAGGCACTCTGGAGTCACCTTGCTGAAAGGTGGAGAAACTGAGGCAGACGCAGAACCAGGAAAGCCTGAGGTGAGATGCCTAAGTCTGAGCTGGGCTTTGTCCAGTTGCATGGAGAGAAGACCATGATGGGCTCCACCCCACATCCCTGCACTCTTTGGCTCAGAGCACTTTCCCAGGACGCAATTCCAGCCGCCACAGCCCAGGGCAGCACAGGGACCCCAGGCCTCCCTCTGGATCCACTGAGTCAGAGCTGCCCCAGCCTCCCGGAGGGCTGTGACACCCACATCTGAGAACCATCACCCCACCCCACCCCACCCCTCCCCCCATCTCTGGCAGACCCTGGCTTCCCTGCCCACCGCCCAGTGCGACTGGGGTATCTTGCCAGGACCTCGCATCAGGAAGGAAGAAAGAAACGGCAAAAGGTTTGGCAGGGCCAGGCGGCCCCTTCCCATGCTGACAGCCTGGTCCCATGGCCACCTGGAGGTGACAAGCACAAGCCACGCTGGGAGTCCAGCAGCTCCCTGCCTTGGCCACAGGCATCGGCAGCACCTTCTTGAGTGTTTGGGATTGGTGCATTCCCTGTAACCCGCATCTGTAACTGGAAGCTCAAGGAGTCTGCTGGGCTGAGAGCCGTGGGTCTCTCTGATTCTGTTACTCAGTGAATAGAACAGTAGACCGCTGTGACTGTTTTCACCAAGCTAGTCCCCACCAGGAGTTGGGAGTCACCATCCACACTGTCCTCTCTGAGGGTGGGCAGTCACATGCCATGTATCATGAATGCTCCCAGACCTCATGTCACAAAACGGGGGCTCAGGAAAGGGCCCCTGAAGAGCAGCGGCTTTAGAGGGCGGGACATTCCTGGACAAGAGCAGACAGGAGCCCGCGAGGTAGCTGCTCCTGCGGAATTCCGGATGTGGCTCCGGCACAGGCCCGGTCTTGCAGGGCCAGGCAGCCCCTCCCGGCGCTGACAACCCGTCCCCGGGCGGCCTCTGCAGGCTGCAGGTGGCCTGTCACAGGCGGAAGATCGGGGCTCCCCCCAGGGCTGAGGAGATGGATAGCATTCCTGGGACCCGCCCAGCCCTGCACGCCCATCCCCAAGAACAGACAGGCAACCCAGGCACGGGTGCTGAACTCACAGAAGTGTCCACAAAGCCCAAGGCTGGCCCAGGCTGGTGACAGGGACCGCAGCGCCCCGTATGCTGGCAGGTAAGACACCTACACAAACAGTAACACAAAGGCCACTCTCTCCGCACACCAGCCGTGTGCCAGCTCTCAGCGGGCACTTTATGACACGTTATCTCCTCTGCGCCCCACAACAACCTGGCCAGGTGGGAATTTCACTCCCTTTACACAGATAAGGAAACAGGGCTCAGAGAAGCGAGGGCCGCCAAGGTCATGCAGGTTATAAAGCGGCTGATTCTGGATCCCACCCAGGCCCACCTGGACACAGAGCCCACCTGGGCGTTCACTACACACCCCTATTAAATACGTGATAAATAGACTCTTTGTTTAAAGAAGAGTTTCAGGAAGCCATGCAGCAAGGCAGGCTCCAGGTAGGGAACAGAGGCAGATGGGGCGCTGGCCGGCCCGATTCCAACCACATGGCCAAGAGGCCATGCCTGCAGGGCAGGCAGAGGGACAGCCAAGGAAGCTGGCCACCAGCAGCACCATATGTGCTCGCAGAATGCACAGGAGGCCACTCATGACGGGGCACAAAGGCCTTAAGTGCGGTGTAGGGCCTGAGTCTGCCCCCATCAGCTCCCTCCCAATCACCCCTTTCCACAGATCCTGCAGAGGCCACGGAGGGTAATGACAAGCAAAGGTCAGCAAGGGGATTCCGCAGCTGGGTGGGATGGAACCTCGGCACCCAGGGCCCTGGGCACCACTGTGCGCCTGATCCTCAAAAACCCCGCCAACCAAGGAGGAACAGCCTGAAGACAAGGACCCTCAAGCCTCCATGCTAGACATCCTGGTCACTGACAGGGATGGGGGAGCCAAGCTTCCTGAACAGAGACCAAGCCATACTTAACACAGACCAGGGGCCAGAGCTTATCATAAAAGACAGGTGGCCGGATTGTCCTCAGGAGCGAAAAGTCACAGTCACAGCACCATCACGCTACTGAAAAAGAACAGAGAGCTGTTGGGCATAAAACACAACCGTGAGAAAAGACTTGTGCTGGGGTGCAGCTCAGTGGTAGACGCTTGTCTAGCATCCACAAGGCCCTGGGTTCCATCCCCAGCACCACAGCAGAGAGAGAGGGAGAGACGGGAAAGCAGCTCAGCAGAAGGTAGGAGGTCCGAACGATAAAGCTGAAGAAATCTTTCAGAAAGTGGAGCTCCAAGGCACAATGATAGAAAATTGGAGAGAAAAGATTTTATGAACTGAGGTCAGGAGGCCCAGTAAGCATATAAATGGGAGTTTGGGGTGGCGGGGAGAAGAATAGAGAAAATGAAGGGAAGGAAATTATTTTTTAAATTTCAAGAAACTTTCCAGAGCTGAAGGGCATGCAGGGAAGGAGGGGCACAGCGTCCTGCTGTGACCAAAGCACCAGTGTTCACATCTCAGAGCTGCAGAGAAGCAGCAGCCTTGGACTAGGGGCTCCTGCAGAGGAAGCATAATGATGGGCTTTAGAGAGGTCAGCAAAGCTGGGTAGAGCCCCGAGCCTGGGGTTCATTTGGGTTTATCTCACCCTCTAGTGCATCTTCTCCTACTGGAAGCTTTTGAACTGTATCTACAGAGGGACCCCAGCAGCCCTTGGGGGCTTGTGCCTGGGGCTTAGAAACTGCTAAGGGCTGGGGACATGGGAAGCAATTCCTATGCAGCGTGAGTATGCATGTATGCATGCATGCATGCATGAACACATACGTGTGCCCGTGGGCACATGGGAGTGCTGTGAACACACTCAGCTCACCTGCCTTTCAGCACCTCTCAGCACAGTTCACACAAATGCAGTTCACTCCACAAACCCACTGTTCCGAGACAGAGCCTGGGGCTCGGTGAGGGTTCCACCACTCATGGAGAAGCACATCTCTGTCTTTCTCTGCCCATTGTTTTACTGAGGAAAAGCCCACTCGCCACAGGGCACACACATCTGAGAGAGCAGGAACGGGGAATCTGCTCCTGCATCGCTTGGTAGCGGACATCTTTTGTAAAGGAGAGTCTTGGTCATCAACCCACTGTTCAGGGAAACCTGAGACTCCCTTGAGTAGGAACCAACAGGGTCTCTGTCCTATGTATCCCATCACCTTTAAGGTGTCTTTTCTCCAGCCAGGTCTCAGGGCCAGCAGCCCCCAAACCAAGGCTACAGTCCCTATGCAAAGCAAGCACCTCCTGCTGCCCACGGTGCCTGCACATCCAGGAAGCTGTTTTCCACACTGCTTCCCAGGCAGGGGCTGTGAGCCCCGACAGGTCTGTGCAGTTCTCCAGAGAGCAGACATCAGGATGCATGTGGTCAAGCGCATGGGTCCCCTGTGGACATGAGCCCTGGGGACCCCTGTGGACAGGTCCTCAAGATCCTGAATGGACAAATGCATTGGGAGCTTTGCTGGAAGCCCAGCAACTTCACTACAGCCTAAGAGCAGCTTCGGCCTCGGAGCCAGGGCTGGCCCACAGAGGAGGCTCAGCCCCAGAAGGTGCCAGGCACCACTGGGCACAGCTGGCTCTTCCATCCACATTTTGTCCACCCAGAGGGCAGGGAAGCCCGGGCATGCCAGGACTCAACCTGGCTCCAGCCTCCCGCTCATCCAGCTACCAAGCCTGGGGCTAAGGTACTGGGTTCCCAAAGAGTAGACAGCCAGCCCTCAACAAGCTGCCCAGGCCCCTCTCCACTCCTTTCTTAATGGTTAACTGGTATAATAAAAACGGGCGATAATGAGCTTTTTGACTCCTTATCAGCCTCTCAGCCAAGGAGGCTGTGAAGGCGCTGGGCGTCCCTCTCAGCCCTGCAGGCCGACCACCCTTTCATCTGCAGCCAAGCTGCTCAAAAAAGAGCTTTTTTTCCCCCAAACCAAGCGCTCTCTGCCAGTGAAAATTTTACAGTAAAAATAGAAAAGGAAATTCTTAACCCGCTGTCTCATGTGTGACCAGTGGTTCTGCAGGGGGGGACAGCAGTCCCAGGAATGCGCTCCCCCTCCCTGGGCCTCAAGGCCTTCCCCAGAGCGAGGGAATGCGGCACCACGGGGGCCCTTTGTGTTCTGCCACCAGCCAGCGGCAGCTCTGTTGTGGGGATGGAGACTCCGGGCTGGGGCTGCCCATGTTCCTATGCTTTGATCTGAACCTGGCACTGTGGATGATGCCCACCGCTATCCGAGATTCAGATCCTGAGGTTTCAGTTCCCTCAGACTTTGGGCACTTGTGCCCAGGGCCAGCTTGGCAGCAGGGGCCCTGCTGCCACCTGAGGCAAGGTCTGAGGATATCAGGAAGGCAAGGAGCCCAGCAGCTCAGCTTGGAGCGTCTGGCTTCTGACCAGGCGCCCTGTCTCCCTAGGGGGCTGGACTTCTGGTCCCTCAGCCAGTGTGGGAACTTACCAAAGCATAGTGGAAAAACAGTCCCAGTCGATGCTTCCTGAAGTTAAGGATCTGGGCTCTATGACCTGAAGATGGAGCGAGAAAGCGGCAGATGAAGGAACCAGTACCCGGACACTCTAGTCTCAGGCAAAAGGAATGGCGGGCACCTGTGTAGGCGGGGCAGGCCTTGGCCACCCTCTACCTTGGAAGGCTTCCCCCCGGGGTGCTTGTCACCCAGCTGCTTCTCAGGAGTGTGTTTTTTCTCAGGAAAACCATGAGCCACCAGTCTTGCTGCAGATCTCCCCACACCCACTCCCCTCTGTGGAGCTGCCGCACCTTACACTTCCTCTCTCACCCGCAGTTGGCTGGGACCCACTGGCCTAGGCCAGAGACACACAGACCCACGTGTCTGCTCTATGCACTCACCAGCTCCTGTCTCCGGTGGGCAGCTTCTGCCGGTGCTGGGGTCCCACAGGCACGGAGGATGGGGACAGAGACACAATCCGGGGGAGAAAGGCACAGAAACAAATGACTCCAGATATGAGCTCACACTCCTCTCTTAGTGCCCGTGGCCTGTCCATGCCCAGACACCGCAGCTGGCTGGAGCGAGAGGCCAGCTCCTCCTCAGAGCAGTGGTGATGCCTGACCCATGTGGCGTGTCTTTCTGCTGGTGGAGCACAGTACAGGGCGGGGAAGTCCAGAGTGGGAGGGAAGCACCACCCTCCCCAGCCCTGTCTAGAGCTGCAGTTTTAGGGGGACCAGGACATCTGTCCAGTTTAACCAGTGGGCACACAGGCCTTACATGGTCTCCTATGGAGCTCGCTCAGCTGGAATAGACGCCGCACAGCTATAGCACAGATGTGGAGCTGGAAGGGAAGGAGGAAAGCCCGCAAAAGACCTCCCTTTTGTCTTTTGAGGAGTGTGGCCGGGTCTGCAGGACACCACATAGCGTCATTCCCCAGAAGCCTGATGACCAGGTACAGCAGGGCACACAGTAGGACAGATGGACTGGACGATGCCAGGCTTGGAGGCAGCTCCTGTGTCCCCCACAGACCTGGACATCGGCCGGCCCTCAACCCAGGGCCGAGCCCAGAGCCGACCACCAGTAGCCTACACGCCCCTGACCTAGGGTCTGTGTCTGCTTAGGAGGGTTCAGACCGTGCTTTGGCACAAGGGTGCCCAGAAGTTGACCTCTGAGCCCAAGACAGCCAGCGTGCGATACCAGCAATCTCTTCGTGCTTACAGAGGAACCTCAGCTGTGCAGGGTCCAGGAGGCCAACTGGCCTTGCCCACTGGCAGGTACAGAAACTGAGGGCCGTGTGGCAGCAGAGGAGGTGTAGGCCACATCTCCACCTCCCTACATGCTATGCCCGGGAAGGTAAGTATTGGAGCCAAAAGGTGGCCTATGATGATAGAGAAGTCAAGTTCATTCCAAGGTCACTAGCAATTCTCATGCTCATGCCTGAAAATCACTTCCTTGACCGTGGGAAAACTGCAGCAGACGAGAAGACAGTCAGGAGGCAGTGAACTTCAGTCTTTCCCTCCTGAGAAAGGGGCTGACTAGGAGGGGAGGGGACAGGGAGGGGAGGCCAGGTCCCTTGGATGGCAGGAGAATGGGCTTCCAGCTCGCAGCACTGTGCCTGGGGCTGCCAGGGACCCACTGAGGTGATTGCCTGGGATGTTGTCAGCAGCGTGGGGGTCTGTGGAGGCTTCCAACATGCACCCCTTCCTTTCTGACCCCTAGCTAGTCTCATTTGACACCCTGCTGCTCCTCTAGTGCCTTCTATGGCTCCCAGTGCCTGCCAACTGGAATCCTGTCTTCTCAGAGGAAGCGGCATTGAAACAAGGCCAGACAGAAGAGACAGAGGGCAACCAGCCAGGGTGTGGGGACGAGGGAGCCAGACCCAAAGGAGTGCGTGCATGGCTGAGTGACAGGAGGTGTGTTGTCCTCCATCACCGCTGTCATGATGGAGGAGGACACCCAGCCATGGGCAGCAGGGCTGTAAAGGGACTTTAGGGCTCCAGAAACCCAGGGAGGGAGGAGCTTCCAGGGCTGCTGTGAGCCTGAGCCTGGAGGTGGGCTGATACCTGGCTGAGGCTGGCAGCCTTGCGGGAAGAATCTCTCTTTTATTTCTAGCTGGAAATGAAAGGGGGAGTTTGGGATGGGGAGGCAGAGCCAAAGGGCTCCCCCACTGCACACAGAGCAGGGGAGGAAGGAAGAGCAGACAGGAGGCAGCTTGCCGGAGGTGGAGGGAGGCTGCCTGGCCAGACACCCACCACACGAGCTGGGACATGCAGCCATCAGCCCACTCCCCGCGTCCCCCCACTCACTGCTGCCGCCGGCCCAGCCCACCCCCCTCTTGACGCGTCCCAGGAATTCCTGGCTTCACATACGCCCTGCACCATCTGGCAGCTGTCTTCCCTGCAGGTCGGGGCAGGACCCCTAGGGAGAAGGGGTCCTCATCTCATGTCTGTTCTGAACCCAGCCCAGTGCTCAGGCTGCGGGGACACAGGGACACTCTGCAGTGTGGAGGCCTGAGACAGGAGGTTTGCTCCCAGGGAACAACCGGTCAGTGGGAGATGGAGCTTGTGTCAGTTCTCCTGACAAGAGCAGAAGGCGCTTAGGCTCTGGAATCCAAGGACCTGTGTGGTCTCAGCAAGGTTGTTCCTCCCTGAGCCTCACCTTTCTTGTCAAAGCAATGGATCCAACAGCCTGTTATGGGGGGCATCTCATCAAATGCCATGGGCACAGGCATGCCCAGAGGCTATGAGGATGGGTGGGTGAGAGGTTGGATGAGTAGATGGATGTGTGGACGGGTGAATGAGTGAGTAGGGGAGGGGGATAAGTGGGGAGTCAGTGGATGGGTGGATGGATGGATAAGTGGGTGGTGGGTGAGTGGGTGGATAGATGGATGGGTGCTGCATGGGTAGGTAGATGGAGGGGAGATGGGGTGAATGAATGGATGGCTGGGTGGATGGATAGATGGGTAGATGGATGGAGCAGTACAGATGGAATGAAATCAAGAGACAGATGGTTCGGTAGTATTTCCTGTGTACCTACTGTGTATTCACCCTGTATGAGGCACCAGAGGAAGTCTGTGGAGGCTGCCAACTCTCCAGAGGAGAGCTAAGAATTGAGTGCAGGGATGTCTGCTGTTCACGATTGCTTGAGTGCTCACCCATTGCTGGAGCCAGCCTTGACAAGGACAGTCCTTACCCCTTTGTACTGGGGCAGATGCAGTGATGAGCCCTGCCCGTGGCCCTTGGGAGACCCAGCTGTGGCCCAGGTGCAGGAGGGAAGGGCAGCATGGGCCCTGAGCCTAGCTGGCCCTGGTCTCTCTCCATGTCATCCCCATGTGTCCCCTGGGTCAGCTCACAGTGGACGCTTCCATACCAGGCCTCACGAAGGTCCCCATGGCTGAGCATTTGACTTCCAGGGCTTACTGTCAGAGGCACAGAGCCCACCCCACCCCACCCCATCTGTCATCAAGAGGTGACACAGCTCTGGGCAGAGGCTAAAGTCCAGAGTTGCCCCTGGCCTTACCATGAGGCTGCATTTTCTCAGAGGACACTACTCCATCTGCACGTCTCGTCCAGCCACCCTCCCTTGCGTCTCAGCCTTCAGCGAGGATCTGACTTTGCACCGAGGGACAACTCACCAGTGGGAAAGTTCAAATCGCCCAACAAAGAGAGGCTCCACTTGTCCAGCTCATCACTGCTCATCAGTCTTCTGTGTTCTCTGGACTAGGTCGGTCGGCTGCCGAAGCAGAGGGGTCAGCGGAGCAGCTCTTCCCCTCACCCTGGATCACAAGCCATCACAGAACCACAGCTGGATCTGAGATGACTAGAAATGCCTCCCAGCGAATCACAGCCTCCTGCCCATCCTGCTCCATGTGCCCCTGCTACTGCCCAACTACCTTCCTGAGGCTTCTCCAGGACCCTCCAGCCCCCGTGTCCTTACTACTCACAGTGTCCCTTGCCGAGGTTACTGTGCTACCCACAAGGGAGCCACTCACCACAGGTGGCTATTGAAACTTAAGTAGATTAAAGCTCAAAAGAATGAAGGCAAGGATCTCCGGCATTTGAGGTGCTCTCTTGGACAGCTCACTCTCACCCAGAACTTCCATGGTGGCCAGCAGTTCTACTGGACTGCCCTGACCCGGAATGTTCTCCGCCTCCTTGGCAGCCTCGTCCCCACCACCTCCCTGATCAGCCAGCACTGGGGCTGCAGAGCCCTGGGTTTTTATTTGGTTGGGGCCCAGTGCCTCAGAGCCCAGAGTGCTGGGCATGAAGAACCCTGCCTGTCTGTCCCTGAAGCCTGCCTCGTGCTGGCCCTGCACACATCTGCGGGAATGGAGAGGGACCTCGCTGTCTGTCAGCCTGTGGAAAGGCGTTGAGCCTTGGACCCAGAGCACAGCTCAGAAGGTGTCTCTGAGTGGATCTGGGTCCACCATGGCTTCCCCCAGTTGTGCCCAGAGCCCTGGCCTCCCTGCTTCCTGGAGGTGGCCTGGCCTGGCCATACTCAGTGCTTTATCTTTGAATGAGGTGTCCTTCCCAGCCATGCCCGGGCATGCATGGGGCCCTGACCCAGCAGTCATCATTCTGGACCTCTGTTTCTTCCTCTGCAGCACAGGCTAAGAATCCCAGCCTGGTTCCCAGGAGGACAGGAGGACCCTGCAGCCTGGGTGGGAGCTGGGGAAGTACGTGGTACCCCTGTGCCCTGGGAGGGGCTGTCGTTGTCACCAGTTCCACATCAGGAAAGGACATCAGCACTAATGGTTGAGGATCTAACACTGGCCCACTCCCTGCTCCTGGGAAGGACAATGTGAACAGCGAGGCTGGGCAACAGAAGGGTGGGTAGGGGCTCACAGCACAAGACTTCACTGGAACCAACTTGGCAGAAAAGCTGAGGGTGCAGGGGGCCAGAAGCAGGTCAAGTAGGGTCCCTACTCCAGCAGGGAAGGGCTGAGAGTAGAGTCCCCAAGACAAGCACATAGACCCTCCTCCCCAGGCTCAGCAAAGGACAAGTTCGGAGGCCTCCCATGCACATACAGGGCCCTGGGCCTGCTCTGCCTCCACCCTCAACCCGACCCTCCCTCTACCACCCTGGAGCCAAGGGAGGCCTTGGAAGTTTCATGGTCTCAGTACAGTCAGAGGAAAACAGGGAGTCATTCTTTCTGGGCTAAAATGAGCCCCCCAAGCAGGCAGAATCAGAGCAGCTGGTTTGTCTTCTATGACAACAAGGGAGCCACTCAGCCTTGGCTGAACTCAGCACCCACTTGCTAGCCATGTCACCTTGCACAAGTGGTTTCTTGGAGCCTCAGTATCTCATCTAGGAAATGGGGCAGCAATAACACCTCATTCATTCACAGGAAAGGTAAGCAGGGAATTCACACTTCTCAGAACACAGAGCACAATCAGTAATCACACTCATTATCTTTATTAATTTATTTTCCACTCAAGAAAGTCCACAGAGATGCAAGTGTTCCCCATGCAAACGCCATCGATCTCTGGTCTACAACCTCCATCCTGGCTGGAACTTGGGATCTCATGGTTGCAAGACAACTTTACATGTGAGATCTCAGAAAGAATCTGTCCTCTCTGCAGACTTCTCACTGAGGCTTGGGCTGGGCCGAGTGGG